AAATGTCAAAGGCTTAATCCAAGGTACACCTGAGCAGCCTTAAATCCCTATGAGAAAGGTATGTAGCAAGTATTTTGTTTATAGTCTGAAAGCCTATGATCATCATTATTTTATGAAAACTTTTGTATATACAGTAACGCTGAATGGTTAAAAACCCACACAAAACCAAACAAAAAACTCTAGAAAACATCAAATAAGCATTTCTTTAAAAAAAGCCCTGTTTCTTAAAATAATTCGATCTACATTAGAGCAAGTAAAACTGGAACAAAACTACATTTCTGAGTATGCATCCAAACAATAAAAACCTCTGAATCCTTCTCAAATACCAATTCTTTTCAGAGGTTCTTCCCATTGGTTTAGGCATAACATTTCAACCATGTTTTCAATGTACCATCTGCAGGAGAGAAGCAGAACCGGTATCTTCTTTTTCTCTCAGCAAATCAGTGCTTTTGGCAGGATTTAAATGACAGCTCAGATAAGAAACCTGCTTCTAAGAGGCAGTGGGAAGATTGCATGATTTTATGCTATATGGATAGGGTAAAAATATCCATGTCTTAAACGATGGTAGATAATTGCCTTGAAGGGGTCTTCCCGCAAGAGCAACAACTAATGATGGATAACATTAAAGACACAGTATGAGGAAGATTTTTTTAAGTGGCATTTTAAAAACAGTGGTCAAGGATGCCCAAAGTAGGGACCTACAGAGCTGTATCAGTTTTATAGTGTTTTCAGTAAGAACTGTCTGCTGAGAGTACACAGGGAGACCAAGAAGAACCATAAACTTTATAAAAGGCCATTTGTCCAAGAGCTACTTACTCAGAGGGAATTATTCATCAGTCACTGACACACCTCTGGAAAAAGTTCACAGAAAACACTATAGTCAAAGAAACCAATAACAAATGCACACAGAACAGAACACAGCACAATCTCCTTTCTATTTTAGATTTACTCTGTCTGTGCTTTTGTCACATCCCGCTTAGACGAGGGGGACAAGTGAGTCAGATTCGCAAATCCCCAATTGGAACGGACAAGAAGTCTCAAAGTTCAAGCATTTATTAACTACCTACAATGTACTAATTGAACACGATAATTGGCTAAGTACAGAGCAAGTTGTGGTAAGCAATATAATGTGTCTTGCATTTCTTAATAAAAAAAGGAAAAGAGGGAGATAGAGGGAATGGGGGAATACAGATCACCGGTCTGGGTTCCTGCGCTGATACCGCTGGCGAGGGTTCCAGGAGATGGCCATCTTTTTTTTTTGCTGGCAGCCGTCTTCGCTTCACTGCTCTCTCCAGACGGCCAGGGGGCAAAGAGAGGGGGGCAGAGAGAGAGCGCGCGCACGAGAGAGCCCTTTCTTCTCCCCTTTGATTTATACCCACTTTCCTTGGGTCTGTCCCCTAGGTCGACCCACATAGCTATGTATCCCATATACGGGGAGGGGTAAGGTGTTTCATGGGATGATGTCACTAGCATGATCATGACAGCCCTCGTTAGCATATTGAGGGGTGTCAACTTTAATATGCATTTCGTGGGTAATGAAGCAAAGTTCATTCACCGGACACATGGCCCTTGAAATCTGCCCAGGTGCCCCAGGGCAGAGCCGTCCTGTCTCCACAGGGCTCTCTCCCCCAGATACATCGGGCAGCGTTATCAGCTTCGGCCTTCACAGAATGCACCCTGTGACTCGGAGTTTTGTCTTGCGAGTGTTTGAGGCATTTCTTCAATCAACCTCAACTTCTGCTTTCCCAGGTTGTGTGTCGTAGTTTCTCACAGGCCTGGTTTCTCGTCTCTCACAGCCTTTTACACTGTCCTGAAAATAAAGCTAGAGAAATTCAAATCCACAGCTGTTTATCCCACAAAGCCAATGCTGCTTCTCTATATCGTCTTGCCTTCTCCAGCCACCACACTGAGAAAGACGTCCTGAGGAAAACATACATTTAAAAACCAAAAATGCTTCACAAACTTTTCTTCATCTCAAGGCCTTTTTCCATCATCATCTTTCCTCACCCTGTAACCCCCTCTTTGCTGTTGTCATTTATCCATGGAGTTTCCCAAGCCCTAAGTTCTTCTTTAGCTAGTTGTATTTTTTTCTCCTAGGCAATTATTACTGTCATTAATGATGCTCTTTCAATATGATCTAAATTCACATCTCTTGCAGTTTTACCACCCACTCAACTCTCATGTAATCCACTAATTTGATTGCAAAGGGAAGTGTAGGTTACCAGTGCTCTTTATCTTTTTCCAAGTGTACATATAAAGGGAAAATTTTCCTCTTTAGTGACTGTCTTTTGAAGTTTTGCTAGAAAGGAAGCTAAATACATTGCAAGAGTTACAGTAAAAGTGCCTTGAGGCCCAACTTTCCTTCCCCCACAAGCTAGTGCCTAAATCAGACTATTTTTGCACTACACCATGCAATTGCCACCAGGTTTTGTATAACCACTACATACTTCTGGCTAAGGACACAACTGGAATTTCAAACCAAAGCAAGTAATGACAATACTAAAATCTCAACTAGCTAAGTTACCATAGAATAATTTCAGATGGATTTTGAGACATTTGGTTTTCTCATGACAAATGACAGGTATTTCAAGAGAAATATGTATATATATTATATATATGGGGAAGCGAAGGAGGGAAAGGTACGGTTTTTTTCAGAAGAATAGAGCTGTGTTAACCATAGATTATTTATCTACCCTCAACCTAAAAAATACCACAGGTGTGGTTTCAAGACTGAATTTTAAGGAATAACCAAACATGCAACCTGATAAGGGACATTCTGAGGGTTTAAAAGGACTTCTGGATAGAAAGACTAAGGAGTTTTTTCCACTTTTTTTTTTTCTTCTATTTAGTAGGTATATGGCAATTCCAAACATGCTAGGATTAGGAATTAGGGTTTAAAAGTTGAAGTGCTGAATCCCTTTAATACAAAAGATCATCATAGTAGTACCACCTTTTCAAGAACATACGGATGGATTCGTATGTTATCACTTCTGCAATCAAAGCGATGACCGAGAATTCTGGCTGGACATTCATATTTGGAATGAACTAGATAAATTTATAGCTATTAAGATCCAAAATTAATAGTAGTATCATATACACATGTAACTTCTGCTCTTTTCAAGTACCATATGTTCCTACTTCTGTTTTTTCATACTGCTCAGAAATTTTTAGAGAGTTGCCTAATGCATGTCTAAAAACTGATCTTAATAAATCTCCCAAGACTTCACTAACTGTGAACACAACGGAAGTTTTCCCTAGTAAAGTATATAATGCTGTAAAGTAGGCAGCAATTACAACTTTTTCCCATTGCTCCTTTACAGAACAGGTCTGAGGCAGACCTCCTTAACCAACAAAACTGATGCACTTATTTTTCCTTTACATGATTTAGCAGTTTTATATTACACATTGAGTATTAAAAATGGAAATAACTTATTTTATTGTTCATTTATACTATCTATTCAGCATCTAGATAAGGACTTGTCTTTTTCATGAACAATTCTCGTTCTAGATGTCTGTAACAACCATTATGTTAAACTGTTCTTCCTCAGTTTGAGTTCTTCCATACTTACTCATGTTAAGTCATGTGCCATGACCAAAATTCCCATCCAGTCATTTTGTGGTATCCTTGCTTCTCTTTCTTGTCACTTCATCTTCAATTTCAAATTTTCTTTCACACCCCGGCCCCCCAGTCTTTATGCAAAAAACCTAATTCTCTCACCTAGGTGCTCATCATTACAAAAAAACCCCGACAAATACAAACCTTACTGTATTAACTGACTGCCTTGAACTTGTGCCTTCCTCTTTCAGTTACAAATCTCAGCACCATGAAATAAGCAATCCAATTGCAGACTTTAAGAACATGAAAAAAATACTAAGTACTTTGTTATTCTGAGCCACAAACAAGCAGCCAAAATTAGTCCCCAACCATTACAGATCAAGATAAAGATCATTACCTTCACTTATGCCCTTAATTAGATAATAACTGCCACTGTTAGTGACATTTTTAAAGCTCAAGACTATTTAAAAAACAGAAGAGGCCACGTATCTACCCAAACCTTCCTCAGGAAGAATAGGTAACAGGCGTTTCAACCATCACACTAACAAGTACGGCCTTCTGCTCATAAGGGTTTTTTTTTACACCTTTCTTCCTTCAGAAAATACAAGCATCTGCGGGGAAAAGGTTATACCTCTATACAAAGCATATTCATTACAAAAGACATCTGAAGGCATTCTGATTATTTTAAAATTTGATTTTAATTCCAGAAGAAAACTAGTAGAAAATCTAGATGCTTGGAAATTCAAACACCACAGGCACTTGAAGATTTCTCTCTCTTAAATCCATACCACCATTCTGGGCACTCTGCTGTTTAAAGCATGATTTCTGACAGCCTACACAGAAGAGTCCACTGCATGTGACAAAAAAGCAACCCTTACCTCACATACTGCCCCAACATACTGCATTGTTTCTTTATGTAACTTAAGTGATAAGTTACATAAAGGTCTACATATAAACAATTACCAAGAGCAAGAAAGTATGAGAGGAACTTTTTCCCAGAAGAGGCCCAGAACCACAATAATGTGTTTTAAGATACAGATTTGACTCTCCTTCAGCAGCAGCAGGTAGATCTTTGCCCTGACCTGATGAATGTTTAACATGTGAAACAGAACACGGAAGAATGCAACTTCCTCCATCTGAATCATAAAACAAACAAGCAGTTTTTAAAAGATTCAAAAGAAAGTGTAGAGACAAATCAATTCTCAGGTTTCAGGATGTGAATTCTAAGGCTGTAGCTCCCATTAAGTTCTGCCTGCAGTACAGAAATCCCTAGAGTGGGGCCATTTTTCAGACACACTAAGAAGGCTGAACATCTCACTGCTCTTTTCTATCAGCCTAGTTTTTCAGGCAATCACCCCCATAAAGCTTTGTGTAAGGGCTGAGACAACTAACTGTGCTGGCTGTGGCAAAGGAATGGAAACCTGCAACAAGAAGGATAACTTTGTCAATTACAGTTCCTTTATTAATGGTACAGTGCAGCAACATCAACGGAAATAAATAATTATTTGTACATAATACAAAAATATAACCCTTCGTAAAGTTTACACTGTGCTAGGAATTATGTATTGAACTTAGACAGTGATTTATAGCATTTTCTCTTAAATAATGTGGACACTCAGCCAAATGAATGGAGTAATATTTTCTCTAATTTGGAAACAAACACACAAAGAGCAGTTTTAGTTCAGTGTATCCATATATCGCACAGCTAAAATTTAAGAGCAAACTAACAGTTTTTCAAGTTTTCCCTTTGCCACTGTTCTTTATCAATAGCACAGTGATTCTATCACCAAAAGATGAACTGAATTTTTGATAGTAGCATTTATTAACAGATACAGGAAAGTATTATTCAGAGAGACAGCTTAAGGCACCATCATTTCCAAGATACACACACGAAATTACTGGCAAAAAACAGTTTTAAAGAAGGTTATGAGTGTTTAGCTACATACCATGATGAGTAATAATCTATTCTTTAAATATATTCTTGACAATATATTCAGTTGGCTAGTGTGGCTTTTGTTTATTCTTTAAAAAAGAAAACTAAAATAGAAGATTTTGACATTAATGAAATCTCAAGAATGCCTCAGATTTTTGCAAAAAAATATCTCCCTTTATCCTTCCATTTTAAATGTAAACAAATCCATCATTCTTGCAAGAAAAGTTCTTTTACATGCTTTTTTAGAAAGACAGTTTTCAACATGTTATATGGTAAAAGTCAACTAAATGATTTTGTTCTCCTTTAAAAGAAATTATACCTACTGCTGCTAACTGCCTCCCTCCAAATCTGTATTCCATCTGTCCCAGCTATCAACAGCACTGGTAAACAATTAATTTAAATGAAATTTAAGTTTCTGCTGAAGTCCTACAGAGCAAACACCAATCCTTGATATGCTCAAGACCCCTTTCCTAATAATATCCCCCATGATATTATCTGAAAGTTAAAACAATAGGAAGCAGAGTTAACATTCTGAGAGCACCTACCACAGAACCCAAATGGCTACCTTGTTAAAACTCTCTCAAACCATGGAGTAAAAAGTAGGAATCAAATAGGATAGGACAAGGAGTAATTTTTATGAATTTACACTACATAAATTGTGCGTTCCAAATTGTGCATGGTAGTTTAAACACAGAACTACAGTCAAGACATATCTACGGAAACATTCTGAATTTCTGAAAATGTTCCAGCCACGCCACAGGCTGACGTCAAAAGATTATGAATGTGACAAAGTCACTGCAGCTTACCTAGTTCCACTCATTGAGTAGGGGATAACTATCAGAGGGAAAAAAAGTAGATTTGGAATCACACATTACATACTTCCAAAAAGTATTTTCCAAATTACTATCAATTCTGACAATATCCCCTCCATTTACCTACCCTTACATTTCAGAGTAGGACCAGCTGCAATTACTTGTAATAAACAACTAATCCACACTATAGTGTGGATATATTATTCCATGAATCCCCAAAGTCCTTTATTTGTGCATTCATCTACTTGGTCAGCCAAAACCTCAGCTTTTACTTGCACTTGGTGCAGAAAGTTGATGAGATTTTTCTGTGCCTTACAATAATGTCAATCTTGAAGTCAGGCATTTTATTGCCAGTGTAATTAATAACCCCCACAAAGTTATCCTCATCTTCTTATTACTAATACCAACAGCACATAAAATACAAGTTCACTTTCATTACCTCTTTTGCCTTAAGGTCCAATGAGCAGGTCTTGTTATACTGTTTCTTCATCTTTTGCATCTGACCCATTATATCAACTTTCATGCTGTCATTCATTTCCTGAATGTCAGTGAAACTACACAGGTCATGTGATGTCATATGTACACTCAGCTAAGAAGAAACACATCTCAGATTCCAGTAACTGAATGAGCAACAGTGATTTCCTCCATTTCAAATAAATTTCAAATAAATTTAAAATAAATAATTTCAATTAAAATAACAGTTTCAATCATGACAGCTGTATAACATATGAAAAATAAGAACTATAGAGAATTAATCTTGCCATTGGCTTCTTGCACCAGAGGAAATTTCTGAATGAATCGCTAGGAAAATTTTCTAAGTTACTAGCTAAAAATCCCGATGTAAGAATGACATAAAACTGGGAAAAGAGGTTGGATTAACATACTGTATGTTAAAACCAGACATTCTTCACTTAATTGAACTACCCATACTTGAGGGTCAGAAGTAGTCAATTAATTTTGGTCATGTTCTACATGTGCTCAGATCTCTGAACTGCTAACTTAGGGTACACAATTTATCTGTTAAGGACCTAAATCAGCATTCTACTCCTTTTGCGTGACTGGTTTGATGATGAATTAACAGAAGGAAACTGAAATAATCTTCTATGGTCAGTTCCAACCTTAGTTACCTAAACACACATATGACAACAAAGTACCTATAAAAGCACTGTAAATATAAAATCTCCATGACAGGGGAGAGGAAAAAAAAAAAAGAAATAAAAAAGCAGCATGGGTTTACTCAGTGACCGTTCACTATTTTGCCTTCTGGCAGATAAAAGAAGTTGTCATCTTTGAGTTTAAGATGTTCTGGTAAATCTAGCTGCCTGTTTGCTTCTTCAATGTCTTCCTGAATTGCTGAAATGAGCGCCTCTGAAAAGACAAGAATAGCAATGTTGAAAAGATGGTTTGAATTCTGAACACACAATAGCAAGTGAAAATGAGGTATACCACAGAATACAAAACAATTACAGAAGTAGAATATGATTATTAACACAAGGTTTGAAAAGCAAAATTCTTTTATTTTAATGACACTTTTGTAAGGAAAGTAATAGACTAGACTGACACTTTTACAACAAGACCATGATTTTAAAAATACCCCTTAGACAAGTGACACAACAATACAATTTTTAGTGTGATGCACTGGAAGATGTGGGAGTATGTTTTGGGGTTTTTTTAATTAAACCAACCTGTGCAGTTAGCTTATGAAAACACTTTACTGAAATTTCAAAGGTTAACAGATAAAGCATCTTATTATGGAAAAAGAGACAGTGAAGACAAGTACTTGCGTGAACAGGACAAAGAGACTAGTTTGAGGGAGATCTGTAACACTGACCTAAGGAATCAAAGTTTTTTTCTGGTCGAATATATCCAATTATGACTATACTAAGAATTTCTCCATAAAAGTCTTCTTTGAAGGTGTGGATAATGTGTGTTTCCTAAAGGAAGAGAAATAAATTGGCATTTATGATGAACTTTGAGTTTATTTCCCTCACTATAAGAATGTACAACTAATATCCCTAATCCAAATTCTCCCGAACACATACCAATAAAAGGGACATTGAGTTTAGCACATATAATGCAAGATTAAAGGCTACATCTTTTGCTTATGTTAGGAAGGAGAATGGTACTTTTCATGGAATTGAAGAAATATTATTCAAGAGTATTCTGATAGCAAAAAAAAAAAAAACCCAAACCAATCAAAAAAAAAAACCAAAAGAAAAAGAAAGCCATTACTCAGGATAAATGCTTCACCACTTCTGAGAGCATTTCCAAAGCAGCAGATCACAAACAAATCTTAATGTTTCATCATTAAGTTGATGCATCCAAATAACTATTAAGATTTTGATTGAAATAGTTGGGTTAAGGAAAGCTTTGGCAACCAACTCACATGGGAACTAAACAATAACATTCAAGAAAGAGCAAAGGCTGAGACAGGGTTCCATCTTACACTCAAAACCATTTCATGCACATCTCCCCCTCCCAACACAGGCCCACCCATGGCATATACCAGCAGAGATATCAGATGGAAAGCTTTTAACTTTTTTGCTCAAAAAAGTGCAAAAATTTTTTAAAGTATGCATTCACGTAAGACAAGCACATTATGGAGTCTTCAAAGACTCAGAACCTTAGAAACAGAGATTCACATCCAAATAAAGTGTTTTAAGCAATAAAAGCAGAACTCTGTAAGACTCAGGAAAAGCACCAGCCCCTGACAGCAAGAAAAACACAGCTGTCACAGCTCACAAATTTAAACTCAACTGCTCCATCCTATTATTGTGTACCTTCAAGTATTTATTCTGTATATCCAGCCACAGCACCCATGTATTGATTCCATCATTTAAGAGAATTAACAGAAAATCATTACAAATTAAGATGCTCCAACATGTCTTATTTGAAATGCTGACAGACTGCAGAGAACAATAGATTAGTAAATTCCAGCTAGTGCTAGGGCTCTTGTAACCAGCACATTCAATGAATCTATCAAGCTTATGTTCAGTTAGCTCAGCACCCCAAGTAATCACCATTTCAGAAATGCTGTTATTTTTTTATTTTGGAAGTATTTAAGAGCAAACAGAATTTCCAGATCTCATTTATGGATCAAATTCTGCTTATCATATACAACATCTGGCTCATTTATTAAACCAAAAATCCCCCACAAAGCAAAATTCTTACCACTGATTTCTTAATATTCTTATAGAAAGGATTCCATCCTATGCTCAAAACCATTTTATGTACATCTCCATTTCCAACACAGGCCCATCCATAGTATATACCAGTAGAGATATCAGACGGAAAGCTTTCAACTACTTGCTCAGAAAAGTTAGCTGCAAAAATTTTAGAAAGTGTAAAGTGTGAGTGACTTTGTGCAGGCCAAGGACATAACAGAATCTTCAAACACTTAAAAGCCAAACTGTACCTACATACTGTTTACAAACATGATACTGGTGATGATGAGTGATGCAGTGTGCCATTTGGCAAAGTACAATATACAAAACAGCTTCATAAAATTCAGTCTCTGTAGTAATATCAGAGTTATCACATCTCTTATGCATACTGTATTTTATAATTATACACATTCTTTTCTGTGCTAATTAAGAAACATGCAATATATTCATTCAGAATGCATTTCACTTGGGATAACTGTCAGTTTTAATATGGTGAAAGACGAAAAAAAATGTTTCTTCTGCACTATAAAGCAGCATCTCTGAACTCTTTACCTGTCAGTAAAATAGTTACTCATGAAACAAAATATACAGAAATGAATGAAATTATGGTTTAGTCACCTGTCAATTTTGTACAAGTTGCCTTTCAGAGGCATTTGTGGATTTCTGGTATTTTGAGAACCAGAGCAAAATAAATTCTCTTCTGACTGAGCCTAACGTTCTTTCAAAATTATTATCCTACTTCCCACATGAGTAGACCTTTTCATGCAAGATATCAAGACGATTTGGAAGAATTTATGGTTACTGAACTTTTATCAAAGCTCAGAAGCAGTAACAGCCTCTCTTTACCTGATATCAATACACCATTTATATACAATCAGGAGAAAAATATGGTATTATTAACAGATGTTGTCAGAAATCTAGCACCTCAAGACTGGTCTTAGTGAGCTTCTTTGTCTGCTACGAGTGGTGCAACATGACTGTTGACTTCCGTGTCTTGGACAGGACAAACTTCACTTGAACTACGCATCTATCTGTATTTAGACAACTGAAACAGAGATGAGCAAAGAGAAAGCATATTTCTTTGTAGACCAAATCCGCCTGCCCTGTTTTTTTAACCCCCACATTATTCCGCTTGAATTTCCTTCCTCACAGCTATTCCCAATGCCTACTCTCTTTCTTATTCCAGTCCGAGGTTTACGTGAACGGATACTTTCTAAGCTGCCACACATCAACACCGTGCATGTGATCACTTATCTACATCCCGTACATCATCATGACGGCCATTAGATGATTAAACGAACCAAAAACAAGACTGAAAGAAATTCCTTAAGAGAATGGGGAAAGAATGACACAAGGCTTTACTCAAATAGCAGCAACTGATACAGGAAATGCCACCTTCTCTCACAAATCTTGTTTTAAATGTATGTTTTCCTCAGGACGTCTTTCTCAGTGTGGTGGCTGGAGAAGGCAAGACGATATAGAGAAGCAGCATTGGCTTTGTGGGATAAACAGCTGTGGATTTGAATTTCTCTAGCTTTATTTTCAGGACAGTGTAAAAGGCTGTGAGAGACGAGAAACCAGGCCTGTGAGAAACTACGACACACAACCTGGGAAAGCAGAAGTTGAGGTTGATTGAAGAAATGCCTCAAACACTCGCAAGACAAAACTCCGAGTCACAGGGTGCATTCTGTGAAGGCCGAAGCTGATAACGCTGCCCGATGTATCTGGGGGACAGAGCCCTGTGGAGACAGGACGGCTCTGCCCTGGGGCACCTGGGCAGATTTCAAGGGCCATGTGTCCGGTGAATGAACTTTGCTTCATTACCCACGAAATGCATATTAAAGTTGACACCCCTCAATATGCTAACGAGGGCTGTCATGATCATGCTAGTGACATCATCCCATGAAACACCTTACCCCTCCCCGTATATGGGATACATAGCTATGTGGGTCGACCTAGGGGACAGACCCAAGGAAAGTGGGTATAAATCAAAGGGGAGAAGAAAGGGCTCTCTCGTGCGCGCGCTCTCTCTCT